TTGGAATTAAGTAAAATTATTCTTACTTAAACTAAAAAGAAATTTTAGGATTCATCATTGCTGCTGCTACCTAATGTGATAGTAAGCATTAGAATTAAAATTAAAGTGTATATAATTGGAATTAAGTGTTTAAAATACGAAATTATTCTTACTTCAATGATAAAAAAAAAATTAGAATTTGTCATCATCACCACCTTACATGATGGTAAGTATTAGAATTAAAGTGTATAGAATTAAAATTAAGTATTTAAAATATGTGTAATCATTCTTACTTCAACAAAAAACAAAAAAAAAATTAGAATTTATTATTGTCACTGCCTAATGTAATAGTAAACATTAGAATTAAAGCCTATATAATTGGAATTAAGATTTAAAAAGTGAAATCATTTTTACTTCTAAAAAAAAATTTAGAATTCTTCATTGCCACCGCCACCTAATGGCATTAGAATTAAAGTGTATATAATTTGAATTAAGTATTTAAAATATGAAATTATTCTTACTTCAACAAAAAATAATAATAATAATAATAATTTAGGGTTTGTCACTGCCACCACCACCTAATATAATGGTAATAATTAGTAGAATTAAAGTGTATATTATTGTAGTTAATTCTTGAAATTATTCTTCAATTAAAAAAAAATAATTCAGAATTTGTCATTGCTACCACTGCCACCTAATATGATAAAAAATATGGTAGGTGTTGAATATTAAATAATACTTTTAATTGAAAATAAAAGTTTATACTTATCTAAAATTATAGATTTTGTTATAGCTACCATCTAACATGATGAATATAGTAAGTATTTATTTAATAAGAAATGATAACTGAAATCAAGCATTAAATATAAAATTACTTATACTTATCTATAAAATTTTCAGAATCTGTTGCCTTTTAATATAGAGGAAAATATGGTAAATATTTTATTAGAAAATAATATCTACAAATAAAAAATGGTATTTATACTTCTCTTTAGAATCTCAGGTCTCAATGTTGCCGTCACCATATAATATTGTAAAAAATATAATAGAGATTAAATTAAAAACTGGCATTTAATTAAAAATGACAGCTTATATGTCTTTAAAATTTTAGATTTCACCATTGCCATCAACTAATGAGAATGTAGTAAATATTGAATCATAAATGACTATTTTAATTTGAAATAATTTACTATACTTCTTCCTTACTTTCAGGTTTCACCGCTGTCGGCGTCTAATAGAGATATGAAAAATATTAGAAACAATATTTCAGATAAGAATTGATTCATACTTGCCATTTATAATTTTTTTTTTTAGAAACTTAGACTTTGCCTCTGCTATCGCCTAATAGAAGTGTGGTAAATTATTAATTAAATTATTAATACTTAAATTTGAGATATAGATTAATTATTCTTACTTTAAAATTCTAGGTTCTACTGTTGTTTTCTTCTAATAAGAATGTGGTAATAATAAATAAAAGCTTACTACAAAATCCTGAAAGATAGATTTCTAAACAACAAAGTTAGCCAGCATTAGTTATAATGCTGACCAATTTAGTCAGATTATGTTTTTTTAGAAAAATGGTTTTAGGATTTTGTATAGAACCAAATAACAATACAAACTTTGATTTGAAAAATTAACTGAGCACTAATTGAAATTTAGATCTTACCACTTCTGCCGCCATCCAATGTGGTATTGAATAAGATATTTAGTGTTAAAAAAAAAATTTACAAAAATTTACATTTATCTTTGAATTTTAGATTTTTTTTCTACTACCACCACCTAATATAGTAGCAAGGTTGCTATTAGATGATATGATCATGTAAATAGTGAGTATTTAATTAGTAAATTTAAAGTACAATTTAAAAATAATAAGTTCTAATTTTTTTTTTTTTAAGAATCAAGATTCATGTCCATTTCTATCCTTTTATACAACTCAAAGCATCATCGAGGCTGAAGCTATTAATCATTTGGAAATTTATATGGAAAAAATGAGGGCACAAAAAGAAAAAGGAAGAAAACACCTGCATAGATTTGAACTAAATGATTTGGTTCAGATTCGAATTTCTAAAGTTAATCGTACTGGTATTAATAGAAGATATATACCTTGTAAAGTGTTGAAAATTACCAAGAATAATACATATATTTTAGGTTGTCAGTATGAAAAATTGAAGGAAAATTATTCAGCTATTGAATTGGTTCCTGTTACTACAACTTTTCAAGAATATCCTGAGCTTGCAGTTATTCCTGATACTTGTATAAGTGCATATAAAGCTGCCATTCAACAAAGCTCTGGCTCCATAACTGCTACAAAATGTCTTTGTAAAGGCAATTGTTTAAAAAACTATTGTAAGTATAAAAAGGCAAGCACAACTTGTAGTACTCGATGCTATCCAAATAATGTTAATTGTCAAAATAATTGAATTAGTTATAATTAATATATAACTAATATATAATTGTTAAATAAATATAAAATATTTCAAGATGCTTTATTATTGCTACAATAACTAATATATAATTATTTAAATAAATACAGTATATTTAAGAGGGGATGCCTCACACTATTCATACCCCTAGTAAAAATTTAAAATTATAGTGAAGATATCTCGATAATAATATTATTAAATTTAATAAACTATTTTTTATTTGAATTCTATGAATCTATAGAATTCAAATAAAAAAATTTATTAGATTTGATCTGGTTGTTGAGATATCTTCACTACAAGTTTAAAAATATTTGGTACAATATTTATTTTTGATTTTTCTTTAACTTTGTGTGAAGTTATCTCGATAACTGCCTAGCCAAATTTGATGAATTTTTTTATATGAATTCTATGAATCTGTAAAATTCAAATAAAAAACACATCATTAAAATTTGATCAGGTTGTTGTTGTAGAGATATCTACGCTCATAGTTAAAAAAAAATTAGACACAGTTTTTATTTTGGTGGACATTTTGATTTTTCTCTAACTTTGGGTGAAGATATCTTGACAATTACTTGACCAAATTTATTGAAACTTTTTTTATTTAAATTCTATAGATTTATATAATTTAAATAAAAAATGTTCCGATGAATTTGGTCAAGTAATTGTTGAGATATCTTTACTCAAAGTTAGAAAAAAATCAAAATGACCATCAAAATGAAAACTGTGCCTAATTTTTTTTTACATTTGAGTGAAAATATCTCTACAACAACCTGATCAAATTTTAATAATGCATTTTTTATTTGAATTCTACGAATTCATAGAATTTATATAAAAAAATTCATCAAATTTGGCCAGGCAGTTATCAAGATATCTTTGCTCAAAGTTAAAGAAAAATCAAAAATAAATATTGTGCCAAATATTTTTAAACTTTGAGTGAAGATATCTCAACAACAAACTAATCAAATCTGATAATTTTTTTTATTTGAATTCTATAAATCTATAGAATTCAGATAAAAAAAAATTTATCAGATTTAATCAGGTGGTTGTCGAGATAATCTTCGCTATAATTTTTAAAAAATATATACCGTAGTGCACTGACCAAAGTATCCCCCTTTTTCTATATCCCCCCTTGCAAAGTACCCGATGCAAAACACGAGACCTCTATTAATTAATCTAGTTTTTTTTTTTAATTTTTAGACTGCTTATTGTAAGTGCAGAATATTTATATGCTTGAAAATTTTTTTTCTTGCGACACTGGCCCGCTGCTGTATAATATACCCAGGTCTTTTGTAAGTTTTTTGTTGGGTATTTTGTATTAGACCCCGGGTCTTTTGGTCAGTGCACTTCGGTATTTTTACTGGGGATATGAATATTAAACATGGAGGTACATATGATATTTACTGAATTTCTATTAATTTTATATAATATATATTAGTATATTAACAGCATTTTTAATGTAATGATCTGCAATTTGCATCTAGGACAAGATTGGTAGCCCAAAATTAAATTGCCATCTGGGCTAGCCTAATTGACAATTGGGCCAATTTGCATCTGGGGTACAACATATATAAAATAATTTGTATATAATATTAAAAATATTTTATTAATTGATTAATTTATATATAGTCTTAAAAATATATTATTTAATTAATTATATATAAAATAAATAAAAAATTGGAATCTCATATCTAAAACAATATTCAAGTCTAAGAATTAATACTAAAAATTATAAAAAAAATTAAACTTTTATATTTAAGACAATACTCAAGCCTAAGAGCTAATATAATTTAGATCTAAGAATTAGAAAAAAATTAAAACTTCATGTTTAAGGCAATTCTTGAACTTAAAAACTACTATAATGCAATTTACGCCTAAGAATTAAAAAAAAATTAAAACCTCATACCTGGGGCAACACCTGGGCCTAAGAGCTAGTTATAGTATATTATATCTGTTTTTGTTATTTTTCCCTTTTTCTTTTTTTTCTGTTCAGATTTTTTGCTGCTCTAATGAATTGATATCACTAATTATTAAAAGCCAAATTGAAAGATTGTAGTAAGAATTTGATAATTATTTCTAAATTTCTAAATAACATATTTGTGCAAGTAATACAAACTCCTAAAAAGAAGTAGCCAAAATTGAAGATTCTATTAATAAATTCAAAAGTTTTTCAAAATAACTAGTAATGATTTTTCAATAAGTACTTGATTAAATTTGGTAAAAAATTTTTTATTTTAATTATATAATTTTGTGTAATTAAAAAAAATAAAAATAAAAGCCTGGTGAGATTGACTTTTTCTATAAATTACTTTACCAAATTAGAAACAAGAAGAAAAAACTTTTCTGTGATATTTTCTTAAAAACTTATTAAGTAATTTGATATCTGACTTCTAAGTAAAGTTATATAGCACTCATAAGACTACTTAAAGAAGATGCAACTTTTGCCAAAAAATCTTACTCTGACAAGCCACTAGCAATAAATACTTCACAAAAGTGGTCCTAAGAACTTCGTCTTCAGTTTTTAGTCTTTTCCAAATTCAGACCGTTTAATAATAAACTATTAAAATAAAGTTTTAAATAAACATTAAATAGTTAAAACCATTATTGCACGAATTTTATTTTTTGATAATGAAGGCTAAAATGATAAACTATATACATGAGTATAGTTAATCTTTGAGACCAGACCAACCAGACCTTACTGATAGATATATTGGGACCAGTCTTATTAGAACCGAGAACGGCCAGATGGAACAACCCAACCCTTTTATAGATGAAAGACTATTTATATGAAACTGTATTAGCATCAAGGCCATAAAATTACATTATTTTTTTGATATTAGCAATAATTCAGACAAAATTTAGTTTAAGATTTAACAATTTTAGATAAATTTGATAAATTTTAGGCAAATTTTGATTAAATTTAATAAATTTAGATAAATTTCGATTTAAATTTGATAAATTTTAGGCAAATTTTGATTAAATTTAATAAATTTAGATAAATTTCAATTTAAATTTAATAAATTTTAGATAAATTTTGATTTAAATTTAAAAATTTTATAAATTCTTAAAATACAAATCTTCAATAATGCATGACTATGATTCCATATTTTATTTTTTTGTTAGTGAATATATCAAATTTTTTGGTCATAACAAGAACATAAATTTGTAATTTGATTAAATGCAATCCTGACCAAATAATAATTAATAAAAAATGTTTAGAAAACAAATTGCACTAAGCCACATAATTTATGTCTCTAGATCACAGCATTAATATCCAAATTAGTCATGTACAGTGTGTTTCAGAAGCAATGTTTAAAATCCAAATTTTAAAATTATGTTCCAAAAGAGCTTAATATAAATTATTAGTGTTCTCAAAAAATTTTTGTGTTCTCCTAAAAGGTAAAATTAATTCGGATAACCTAAATTAAAACCCCTAATCTAAAACTCTTCACACCTGCTTACGTAAATTATTGTAGCATTACTTAATTTTATAAAATAATTTTCAAATAATTTAATTATATAGTAATAATACAAATCTATAGATATCAAAATACAACTTGATTTTGCTCGAGTTGGGCTCAGGGTTGGCTCGGCGTTGACTCTAAACGCAACCTAAATACTTCTTCAGAGCACTAGTTTATTAGATTGAATTATAATAATTTATTGAGAATATTTAAAATGTTCTCAAATAAGAAAATCTTATTTTAAATATTGATGTACTTTAAAAAAAATTGTGTGTTCTTTGAGAGCCAAGAACATGAATTTTAAACACTGCTTAGAAGTTAAATAAGTTACAAGTATGTGTAAAATTTTTATTAAAAATAAAATACGTATCACAAACTATAATGTAGTTTGTAAATTTGATAATTTTAGATATAAATTCTTAGAATTTAAAATTTAAGTTGATACTTGAAATTTTAGTTTTTTTGTGAAAATTTTATATCAAAAATTTTTTTTTTTTTTTTTTTTGGTATTAAGGTGAGGTCTTGCTCATATCTTTATTGGTTAATTTATATAAGTAATTAC